TGAAGCAGAATGATGCAAATGGGTCTCTATGTCCTCCAGCAGTCTAAGCCTATAGCAGCATAACTATAGAGATAGCTCAGGATAACCTGAACCACTCTAACTAGTTTTATCAAAAAGGAAAGTTTTAAGCCTAGTCTTAAAAGTAGACAGGGTGTCTGCCTCACGGACTAAAACTGGTAGTTGGTTCCACAGGAGAGGAGCCTGATAACTAAAAGTAAAAAATGTAATAATGGATATAACTTAACTTTATACCCGTAGATAGATGTAAAGTAAATATATGTATTTTTAGGGGTCTCCTGTCTATTGGTGGTTATTGTTGGGGTCACAGGCTGGAATGTTTGGGATGATCTACTAGTAGGAATGGGGGGTGTTGGAAGTTGACCTAGCAATATTAAAACTTGAGCCACCTTGGGAGGTAGCAATAAGCCTGTGACGACAATGTAATTTAAAGGCTAATAAAGGATTGTGGAACAATTGTGACGTAAGCTTCTTTCACAAAGCTGGATTGAGGCACATTTTCCCCACATCCGTGTGTTTTGGGAAATGATGAGGAAAGCAGAGCAGGTGAGTTAGTCAGAGGTCAACATCAGCTGACTGGAATAGAGGCATGCTGCTCCGTGGGGCGAAGGAGGGAAGCAGTGGCCATATGTGCTTTGTGCAACAAGTCAGATGATTTCAAATAAGACTCAGAAAATCTTAAAGAGACGACAGAATACTGCAGGTTTATACTTTCAGTTTGGTCTGAGGTGATGGATTTCCCTTGGCTTGGTCTTTTCTCTGTGTGACGAGAGACAAGTTACCAAACTCAACGAATGGTTCGAATTAAACTAAACAAAGTAAAGAGCTGAAAGCATCTGGACCGTGACACACAGATCCACCAGATACACTGAAAAAAGTGTAACATGTAACTGTTCATTCAAACTAATGCTTTTCACTCTAAACTAGATCAAATTATTGATTTGATTAGGTAAATAATTCTTTTTTGGATTTTGAGACATAAAGTTTGATTTAACCTGAACTAAATACACGTAGAAATGACCCCAAAAAAAGTTTTTGATTTCTCTCAATATGTATATATTTATTCGTGGCCTGCAGGTAATTTTTTTTGTGTGAGTTTATGTGAACTGCGCTTTGCATGCAGTCACAGCACGTGATCCGGGATCTTTCTGCACCGAGTTTGCATGTTCTCCCTGAGAATGCGTGGGTTTTCTCCAGGTACTCCAGCTTCCTCCCACGATCCAAAAACATGATTTTTAGGTTAATTGGCTTTTCTAAATTCTTGTAAATTTAGTTAGTTAGGTTGGTCCAATGTCAATATACCGTATTTTCACGACCATAAGGCGCACCGTACTAAAAGGCGCAGTCTCAGTTATGTGTGCCATTTCTGTATTTAACACACACATAAGGCGCACTGGATTATAGGACGCGGGTTTTATATACAGGTACATATCCTCTACTACGTTTAAATACCTCTACTGCATATTTAAAAATAGAGCGGGAGCAAAACTGAGTATGATTGTGCTTTATTCATGTATTTATTACAAAGTATTAATCAAACCCATCAAAGTCATCATCCTCTGTTTTTGAATTAAACAGCTGCGCTAAATCAGACATGCCAATTTCCCCTTCTTCGCTGTCAGAGTCACTTTCCGAGCAGCGCGGCTCCTCAGAAATAATGCCGGCTTTTGCGAAAGCTTGAACAACAGTGCTAGCAGACGCGTTAGTCCAAGCATCAACAATCCATCCGCAAACGGTGGCGTAACTTGCCCGGCGCTGCCTTCAACTTTTCGTGAAACTGTGGTCTCCGTCTGTCATCCATCGCTCCCACGCCGCTCGCAGCCTTACTTTGAACGGCCGCTTCACACCGATGTCGAGCGGTTGAAGTTCCTTTGTCAGACCTCCCGCAATAACAGCGAGCACAGCGTTCATTAGTTTCACCTTGTTTTTCGCATCGGCTGTGAGATGGGCACGCATGGAGTCACAGATTAACAGCGATGGTGTCCGCGGAAACTCAGCTGCGTCTTCTTCACCTGTCGGAGTTCGTTTTCCATCTTCCTCCACTTGCGAACCGTCGTTTCATTAATCTTGAACTCTCTTGCGGCTGCTCGTTTTCCATGTTCCTCTGTGTAGCTGATAGCCTTCAGTTTAACCTGTGCTTCATAGGCGTGTCTCTGCCATTTTCAGGGTTGTTAAGACAACAGTGTTCTGCATAAAGCACATACCTGTTCTTTTATACACAATCCACGCCCACACTTCCCCCTTTAACGTTCTCTCGTCCGCAGTAACAACACATAGGGCGCACCGGACTATAGGGCGCGCCACACATTTTGAGGGGAAAAAAAGACGTTTATATGCGCTTTATAGTCGAGAAAATACGATATTAGTTTGGTTCATCCACTGAAATGTTCAGAAAATCATTTGGAACACAGCAAAGATTATAAGTTGTGTCAAGTGCAGAATTATTGTTTAAATTCAGATTCTGTGAAGTCAAATATTTTAGATGTGATATCTGGACATCATTTTTGTTAGTTTGAACAAGGTTATACTTTTTCCAGTGAACAGGCTGAACAGATCCCTCGGTGAAACAATGAAATCAATCATTCGTTTTCAGATCCTGTTTCAGACCATTTTGATTTCATTCCAGTATGATCAGAATCAAGTGATAACATGCTAGTACTGGATGATGTTGTCCACCTAAAGGAAGAGCAGCAGATTGCATTTAGCCTTTGACTCTGCAGCAATCCCTCAACCAGAGTGAGCAGATGGCTGAATAGATCCTGTTTAACGGGAAGAAGCCTCCAGCAGAACCCGGGTCATTATCAGTGACCATCTGCTCAGAGCCACCAGGAGGACCTGTTGGAACAAATCTGGATGTTTGAACTTGCTTCTACCTGTTTCTTTTGTGTTTGTCACTCTGATCTTTCAATGTTTTTTTTGCTTTTGTTTTGTTTTGTTTTTTCCAGTAACATGGACGGTTGTGAGAAGTTTGAAATTTCCGAGAACAGCGTGAACAAGGGAACGGAGCAGATCGGGCCGGAATGTTTCGAATTGCTCAAAGTTTTGGGAAAAGGTGGTTATGGAAAGGTGAAGCCTCTCAGTCTTTACTGTAAACATTCTGATCAGATACTTCTTTTTAAACTGTTTTTGTTGTTTTTAATACATCCTAGCCACACTTTACTTTAGGAACTTTTCTTCAAACTACTAATTTGCCCTGAATAGCTGTGGGCCGTTTGCTTTGCCTTTACTGGAAGATGCTAAAGATGAAGGAATGTGGGGGCGAGGATATTGCAGTAGTCTAGAAATCCAATCCAAGCTGGTTGGGGGGGATTTTTACACCAAGTGGGTTTGTTACAGGAACTCTGCAGAGTTTGACATGTCATGGTTGTTTACGAACGGTTCCACCATCTCAATATTTGTGTTTATGGTTCCAAAATGCTTGGATCTTTCTAACTGTCTCATCTCACATTCATCACTTAGCAAATTTATTCACAACTCCTGAATTAGATTACATTTTGTTCCAGCTAAAACCATAAAACCTTTTATTTAATTTCTTTGCATAATTATGAAGAGGAAAAAGCTGCATGCAGTTGATTCCCCTGAATAGAGATCAGTGAGAAGTCGCCGTATTGGTCAACAAAGTTCCTCTGTGTAAAATTCAACTAGGGTTGAGAGCAATTAATCGGATTAATCTTGATTAATCGATTATTGAAATAATCGTTAACTAATTTAGCTGACAGAGCGACCCACTAAGAGCAGAAATTATATCAAAATTGGAAAAAAAATATGTAAACATTTTGCCTTTAAGATAAAAAAAAAAACCTTTTCATCTGTCAATATACTTTATCCAGAACTCCTCAAGTGGAAAAGTTTTAGTTTTAACTGGTTTAATTTAGTAAAAAAAAAAAGTCATAAAAAAAAATCTTTGGCTATTCAATTATTAATCGATTAATTAGAAAAATAATCGACAGATTAATCTATCTGCAAAGTAATCGTTAGCTCCAGCCATAAATTCAACCTGAGATTCAGTCTCTGTGATCACATGTGCATTTCTTTCATTAAAAGAGGGGCCCCACAGTCTGCCACGTTTGTATAACGGCACTTTGATCTTTTAAATTTCAATTCAATTCAGTTTATTTATATAGCGCCAAATTCACAACACATGTCATCTCAAGGCACTTTACAGTTCAACCAGATCATCCAGTCAAATTGATACAAAGTTTTCTATCTAAGGAAAACCAGTTGATTGCATCGACTCATTGAGTCAAATGCAATCCCTCACACTAAGCATGC